ACATTTCGAGTGTGTTTCTGACTAAAAATTTGTGAGGCGTATTAGTTCTCTAACATTTACTACCTACTACATAAAATACAACAGTTCGAAACAAATTCCTAAAACAACTGGTGTTCAAGTTCATTTACGCTGTTTTTGTACATAAAATATGTTGTGGAAAACATCAGTCGCATTTTGAAAAGTGTATTACAGAGAAGCTGAAATATGTAAATGTTTTAAGACTATTACAATGCTCTGTAAACATGGATATTTTCTTGAAGAAATCAAAACTCGAGATCGAAACCTATAACATAGCATTTGTACAGTATCGGTTTCACTACAACCGTTTTGCAAGGACTGTCTTCTCATTGAGAACTTGAATTTGGCATGTAAAAATAAATAAAATAAATTCGAAAGACAAAGTAATGATTGGCTTTACTTAACTATGTCGCAAATACACCAATTTGAAAATCAGAATTATTCTAATTGACTATACCGGAAGAAAACTAATGAATATAATAATACGTATTACGATTGGTCCTTATCTAAGGCCTAAAAAAATGTGTTTCTAGTTTTCCGACCGTTCCAATTTTTTTTTTCTAAAATTTTGTTCGACATGTTTGTAAAAACCATTTTACAGTTTAATTTGGAAACACCTAGCTTAAGAAAATATACTTCATATCTATTTATCTACTTTTTAATTTTGTCTTTGTTTTTTAGGCTTAATTCATAACTTTCTTGAGTATTACCATCATTTATTTAACATATCGTAATTATTGACTACTCTTGTTTAACGTACAAAGTTTGATAAGCCAGATATAACCCATGTGGGATAAGTTGCATCGGTAATATTATTTGTGTTAATTTCACTATAACTAATTGTTATATTCTTGACTTGAGTATATCATTATTAATTATAGTGACTGTTATTATTCATATTGATAATTCAGTGGTGCAGGAAGGGGTTGCAAAGTAGAGGTGATTGATTAGACATGCAGATTTTACAATGAGATATTGAAACTATAAGGAAGTGCTAAAAGCAGCTCCCGTGCTGCCAAAGGCAGTTCAGTCTAGGAAGGTCTGGGGGCATGCCCCAGGAAATTAATATAATAATATAATTTACAGTTGCTATATAAATCAAATTTGTAAATGTGGGAGTGCTACAGCACTCCCGATTCCGACGCCTCTGTAACTGAATATATTAGCATTAAATGAATTTTTTAGTGACTGTTACTATTGGTCTTGAAAAGTCATGCTATTGATAATAATTTAAACTGTTATGACATCCTATGAATATTATTGTAAATTTTATTGACCGTAGCTACCTTTGATGTAGGAACTTCGGGAGTTTAAACTATGTTTGTTGATTTTTCTTGTTAAAACTGTTAGGACTGTCGTGATTAATTTCAATAATTTCAACCTTACAGGCAAACAGTACTGGCGATTCGACAGTCGTAGCGACCCACCAGTCAGTGATCGGTATCCTCGACCAATCAGCAATTGGGAAGGTATTCCTAATAATATTGATGGCGTCTTTAAATGGCAGAATAACAGGACGTACTTTTTCAAAGGGAACAACTATTATCGTTTTAACGACCGAACATTTACTGTAAGTATATATGCTTTGTATAAGTTAACAGAGCTTCTGGGGTTCTTTTTTGTTTTCTCTCAACTGCTTTTAGTATAAAAATCAAACATATCTAAAGTTGTTGAAAATTCATTTCCATTTCTATTCACCTTTTGATAACCTTCTCTGAAATGAAGGCACTTTTATATGCTAATATAATATTTTCGCTACAGCATGGGAAACATCATTTTAACATAATATATCGAGCTAAAGATATAACTTAATTGCATCATTCCGTTTGAAACTTGCTTTCAATGATTCTCTTTTCGTTTCTTTCTTGTCATCTTATGTCAACATAGTGACTAGATGTATAGACTTATATTTGACAGAGAAAAAAAATAAATATTCCATTAGAAACGTAAGACATAGTATTATCGTCTTTTTCTGTGAAAGGCGTTGTTAGTTTATTCCGACGTGGTGGCGGTATCTTCCGAAAACAAAAAGTACTATAAAGCAGCACTATAACAATTTGATAAAATGTATATTCCAAGATCAAAAACTATCTTGTACTTTTGTAATCGAAAGTGGCAAGCACACACACACAGAGATTAGATACTTAAATTATCTTATCAAGGAAATAATGTCAGTGTCCCATGAAAAACTTGTTCAAATGAATCCTTCTGTTAATACGCTTTAACAAGAAAATCTAAGGTGTTTCGAACCAAGACGTAAAATACAACGCAAAAATGTATATCTGATTGTAATGTCAGTGATTACATTGTTTTTGTTTCGTTGTTTTTTTTTGTTTTTTTTCTTTTAGTTCTATTTAATTTTTCGACCTAAACATTCTTATTTTCTTTCATTGTCCATGCTGGGCGCACGCCCTTCTGTGCAGTCTGTCAAATGTGAAGGAATTCTGATCTCTATGATCTCTGCATAACTCATGAACAACTTTAAATAATATAGTCGCAGATTATCTGTAAGAAAATTTCATTATTTTATATGTGATCATCATTATTTACATAACATTGTTTCATAAGTACGAAAAAAGAAATTTTTTTAAATAAATGAATGCAATTTTTTATTTCCTTGACAGGTTGATAGTGGAAATCCATCCTACCCTCGATCCACGTCCGTTTGGTGGTTTGATTGCAAAGCTTCGTCGACGTCTGGCACTCGACCTTTCCGCGGAAAAGATGAAGTCCGAAACATTGATCCAAAACACACAACAGAAGAGCCTGAAAGTAAATCTAGTCCCAATATGGGTATGGTTAACAATTTTGAAGATATGGATGTAGTAATATATCAACCCTCCGACGGAAACGAAAATGACCATGAAGATAAGCCTTTACAGTCTGCTCAGGAACGTAACTCATCATCTGCTAGATCCCCATTTTTTGCATTGATGGTGTTTATCCAGTTAGTAAGATTTATACTGACCGTAGAATATAAATAAAGATTAGATCGAAAATCTAGAATATCTTTTTGACAGAAGCAGCGAAAAACCTAAAACCTCTGCTTACCGGTTAAATAATTTCAGACAATTTTTTCATAGCGATATTTTTGCCTTACCGGTTAACAATATTTTCGCTCTATGTTTTCTACCGGCCAGACACAATCATCCGTGGTATATAAAACTTGCATTTATTTACCATCTTAGATAAGTTACTTTATACCAATGTTCGGGTGCCGCCAACGGAATAAACAATATAAATATCAGAGGCTGTAGTGCGGAACATGTGTTTTAGATGAGCGGATAATTTTCATCGTTATAAATTACATGCATCTGTGATATAACTATTCATATTAGCTTCTGTACTTTACACTACCCAGATTGCATTTACTTTACAGAAAAATACTGCTTGTACTTATTTTAGACACGCCAGTTTGGATATTACATTTGCTTACAATTATGGTTTATTTATTTTTTACTTTTAATCACGCGAAATAATCATCCAATTCCAATAAAAACGTTTTATTGCGAAATATATATCTAAGGGGGTTTTAAAGTGTGTGATTTTTTTTTTGTTATTGTTGTTGACAAAATGGCGTTTGTTTGACACATGTAACGCTCAGATCATACATGTCATTCATGCTTTCCCCCTGAAAATCAGGAGTGCTTGCAGTTCCCTAGTTTAATCTGGACTCTGACAGCTTCATCGTCATGTTATACTTTGAGATAAACAAGAAACAAATGTAGCGGCAAACTGTTAAATTATCAGGAACAGCAAGTCAGTACAGAATATTAGATGTGTTTGTTTGTAGTTAAGCACGAAACTACACAATGGGTTATCTGTGCTGACCACGGGTAACGAAACTCGGTTTTTAGCGTTACAATATATATTTGGATCAATAGGCAGTAATTTTTACGCCCTCCCATTTCTTCCAACAGGTGTCATGTTTTTTGTGGTTGTTTTTGTTTGTTTCATTTTTTTTCAAAATGTTAAAACAGCTAAAATATAAGAATATGTAGAATTAAATAATAAAGGTTCACATCGTTTCTTCATCACATTTATTCTTGTTAGCTTTTCTTTTTTGCTTCCTTTGATTTGTAAATAGACTTATTCATTTCTTATATATTCACATTTTTGTGGTATACGTTGTACAGTTGTAAAATTCTTTTTGCAACCTTTGAATTGTGTTTATTTCACAACATCTAGTATTTCAAATTATTATTTCTTCTTCAATCAACGGATAATTTGATCTTTGGAATATAATAAGACATCATATTTCATATTAACCAGAAAAGTTAATTATTGTAACGATAAGCCGTTAATATAAATATCATTAAAACCTTTGATAAAATTGTGGGATACCTCCTCTGGGAGGTGTCAGTTTTTTGGTATATTATTTTTGGCTATAAATAAAATCTATTTTATAGATATTTATTTGTTTGATTATTTTTGATATTATAAGAAAAATATTAAATTTACAAGTGTTGCGTCATTTGTTTTCGATGTACAGAACACACTGAATCACGTGCTTCGCTAATAACTCAAAATTAAACCTCAAATTATGTGATTACCACTACAGAAACTATACATATAATTTACTTTATACATTGATAAACAGTATAAAAGTTATCTTAAAAACTACTTATTTACTTTGTGTACTGTTTACAAAATTAGCTTCTTACATAAATAAGAAAATTACAGATAATTTGTGTGTACGAAGGCAATCTATTTCTCTGACCTTCAGCAAATTAACATTATAACATGAAAATAGCTACTGTGTAAATAGTTCCCCTGTGCTAATTTCATCGTTTCTTTGGAAACTAACTTTCACCTAATACAGGTTCTAATTTTATTGTTTGAGTGTGGGAAATTAATCTATGTTGTTAGACTTTATTTTACGTTGACAAAAGGGTTTGTACTTGTGAGAGTATTTTTTACGATAATTAAAGTGTTGTCGTACTACTCACAGCCTAAGTGCGTATTAATACATTAACCACTATTTTTGTGGGTATATATTAGTGACGAACGGTATCCTAAAATCAGGAGCAGAATGGAACGCAGTTTCTTACACAATAAATACATCTTTCATTTGAAAATAAACTAAACAGTAAACAATGCATAGTGATATATATTATAAAAGTATTTTAATGTGAAACAACAGCCAGCAACATCATAACTGTTTTGAACAGACGCTGTTGTTTCGAACTGCATAAAAACATTAGTAGCTTAACGTACGAGATTTTTTTTCTAAGCGAATGGTTTAAATATTTAAAACGTCAGCGTTAATTTCAAAGTGTAAATATTCGGTTTGTTTAAAATCGCAAAACAAAACAAAAAGAAAATATCTGTAATTGTTTTGAAGATACATTTTATTTAGTATTAAAATATTAAGCATAAATTTTATACAGTGTGGTAATATATTCTGTCTTTGCGTGAGATAGTTTGGATTATTTGGTAAAAATTATGCCAAGTCCAGTTCACATAATGATAACGAATTAATCGATTTTTTCAATAGCATTTGTTGTAGGCTACGTCCACTTTCACGCAAGTTGTAGGTCTAATACATTAATAGAGTATGTCTGCGGACTTATACTGCTAGAAACCGGGTTTCGATACCCGTGGTGGGCAGAGCACAGATAACCCTTTGTGTATCTTTGTGCTTAATACCAAACAAACTAAAAAGGTTTAATAGTTTGTTTGTTTGTTTGTTTTTTGAATTTCGCGCAAAGCTACACGAGAGCTATCTGCGCTAGCCGTCCCTAATTTAGCAGTGTAAGACTAGAGGGAAGGCAGCTAGTCATCACCACCCACCGCCAACTCTTGGGCTACTCTTTTACCAACGAATAGTGGGATTGACCGTCACATTATAACGCCCCCACGGCTGAAAGGGCGAGCATGTTTGATGTGACGGGGATTCGAACCCACGACCCTCAGATTGCGAGTCGAGCGCCTTAACCACCTGGCCATGCCGAGGTTTAATAGAAATTTCCTTCATTGACAACAAGCCTGACTAACGTATGATTAGCTCGAGAAATACTTAATCTTACTTAATATGTTTACCTCGGTCAATCTTCTCTCGATTAACAGTTACTTGGTTTCTCCGATCTGAATACGTCACTTTATCTTTAACTGAAGTAACTGCTCCTTTATTACTCATTTCTTGTATTTATAACTAAACAGTATTCAACGTTTTCTTATTATTACATCATCATCACGACTGTAAGCTCCCTCTAGAAATCATCTATGTCAAAACATTGAAAATAAAGTTTACAACATTACCCACTTCCTGGATTGTGGACTTTCTTGAACAATCCTAATAGAAGAATAAAACACCACACTAAACTGTCCATTCACTAACTCCTTTTGGTGGTTTCCTCTTCCGAGGCCCATGGGGTAACCTCTTGTCCCTTATTATCACGTGCTGATTTTTGCTTTTTTTGGGGGGGGGGAGCTCTTCCTATTTGTAAGTAATGTACCAATCAAGATATAAGTCGAAGTTTCTCGATTATAACACCATTATCATGATTAGTAGCTACCTCTAGCAAACATTATATTAAAACATTCGAGATATAGTTTACAATACTGCCCCCTTCATGGATTGTGAAGTCCCTTGAACAATCCCAATATAAAAATAAGATACTACACTAAACTGTTAATTCATCAAGTGGTTTCCTCTTCCGAGGCTCATGGGATGCCCTCTTGTCCCTTATCATCACTTGTTATCTTGTCATTTGGGATTCTTCCTAGGCAGTTGATCGAGTGAATCCACTGGCAGCTTTATCCTTGATGATCCTTTGAAAGTGCTCTCAACAGAAACCCTGAGATCCTCAACAGATTGACTTTCTGCTAACAAATTTTTCTCTGGAGTAACCCAGTTAGCCATTCTCTTACTGACGTACTTCCAAAGACAATCATGATGGATGATCATTAGCTTGGATCGCCTGACTCTCTGGATTCTGAAAACTACATTATTGATTTTTTCAGCAGAACATGTGGCCTTTAGCAACACCTGATCAACTTTGGAGTTCATCCCTTTTTGCGGTAGGAAATATAAAGTCATACCATGTCACTTTGATGGATTCCAGTCTTACCAGCATTAATATTATAGCGACTTTTCATTCTATCACTAAATGATTTAAGCATTTACTGGATAATACCATGTATGACATATTTGTTCTTTAGATACACGAAATCCAGTAATTTTGGATCCACTATGCACCTTTCACTAAATGTTAATGTATTTGTAATAAGCCCTGGTATGAGTATTTCACTTCTCGATGATACAATGACTGCCCTCCTTGTTGTCACTGGAAGTTCAACTACCGGTGTTGTAATTTTCAAGGAGTACACAGGAATTTCCTGGTTTTAAACTGTGAAGCTACTTCAAGTTAGCCTAGCTTCGCATTCCTGTGTCTGTATGAAGTAGTTCCGAATATGCACTCTTCGGTATCAATTACCCACACACCATGAGATATGGAAAAACTTCCTACAATAAGTATAACTTCCAACGTCTATTTTTGCTGGAAGTTTACGTCGACTTGCTGTTCACATCACTCCTTCTTATTTCGTCGTCTCTGGAGGCAATTTTCTTTAACAAATCGGGCCGAATAATTGTAGCTATAGAACCAGTTTCAATCATTATTCTGCAAGGTTCTCTATTAATAAACCCATAGACTCGTGGACTATTTTCCTCAAATAATGAACTTATATGGTGTCTTTATGCTTGAAGAATCATCCTTAGGGTATTGCCTATTTGGTTTCTTAACAGCTGTTGATTCCTTACGGTACCAACTGTAGTAACAGGGTTTCTTGCATTTGTAACAATCCTCTCTTTCTAATATCATTTAAGGATAGTTTTTATTCCCTACAAGCTTTTGGCGACAATTCCAGACAATATGTCCATTCAAGTTATACTTGAAACATTTATCATTTTGTTGTTTAATTCCACCATTCTGTGTAACTAGTTGTATAGCTAATCCTTTTAGTTGTTATAAACTGTTGTCAGTGCGAGTTTCATCATCCCATGGCATTGAGATGTTGTCTTTAATTAATTATCTGCCACTTTAATAAATTCAAGTTACATCATCAACTGGAGAGCTTCTTTTAATAATCTACACCTACTTTGCTTCAACCTAATTCTCAAATCCTTGCCAACAATCCTTCATTTCATGAGGAGCATCTGAGTAAGATAATTGGGCAAGCATTTCCAAGTTTTCCTCAAGTTCGGTTCAGCTCTCTCCTTTCCTTCATACCTTGTTCCTGAACTTTGCTCCAGATACTTCCTTCTAGTGTGTTACTCTAAACCTGTTGGACACGGCAACTATCAGTGGTTGATAACTGTTTACTGCTTTCAGCTGAAAAGTTAATTAATGTTGCCAAAGCCAATCTCATTAAATTGGTAGCAAAATGAATAACTTGATGTTCATTGTTCCATCTGTTGCCTTTGGAAATTATCTCAAACTGGATTTGTAACTAGTGCATATCCATAGTAGCTCGTTGGTGATATAATCGAGAAATTTACTGCAGTCACTGATGCCACAACAGTAATAGTAATAGGTGTAGACCAAATAAGTTATCTTATTCTATATTTGGTAGTAAATGGTATCTTTGTTCAGAATTCTTGGGCGGATGTAGATAGAGTATAACTAGTTTGATTTTTACATTTACCAATTCATTTTCCAAATGTTTTTCTGTCTTTGATGTTGTCTTCTATTTCATGATCATGCTGTTATAATCTTTCTGAACTTTTTCAATTTCGTCATTACAATCTTTCTGTATTTCATTGACGTCTTTCTACACTTCTTTAGTCTCGTTGTTATAATTCTTCTGTACATTTCCAATAGTTTAACTGATTTTGTCTTCAATCAGATTCATTTTTATTTTAAAATCTTCTTTAAATATTTTGTCTCTTTCTTTTAATCCTTTCTTCTAATTTTTCCATCTCTTACCAATCCCTTTTTATTTAATTTTCTCTAAATTTCTTTTTTGGTCTTCTTTTATTTTTCTGTCTCTTTCTTCTAACTTTCTGCCTCATATTTTTGTTCTACTGATAATTTTCTGTCTCTTTCTTTTTTATTATTCCATCATCACTACAAAGCTTTAATCTCGCTTCGTGATCTGGTTGTTATATTTTATTTTCACCAAAATAACTGACACCAGTTGTTGCAATGTGTTATATTGTTAGCTGGTTTGTTTTGCTTTTTCTATCACTTGCAAGGCCA